TAATAATAATAATTTTATTTCAATTATTAAACTGTTCTTATCTCAACCCATGAGTTTTCTCACTTTTACTCTTCCGATTCTCTCCCCCATCCCACTGGGGTAGGAGGAGTGAGTGAGCAGCTGTGTGGTGCTCGGTTGCCAGCTGAGGTTAAACTATGACACTACTGTAAAATAATGAGATAAAACAATTTCAAAGGATTGGGCTTTTTTATTAAATAAAGTATTAAAATGAATTTTCCATTTCATATAGAACTCCACAGAGACTGTTTTTCCATTATCAAATGAAAACATGTTGTGTAATGTCATTATTTGCCATGAAATGGAAACGACTTAAATTTTGATCAGCATTTCTGTGGGTTGTGTATCAGGGGTTGGAGGGTATTTTATTTTGCTTATTGCTTTTTAAGTCTTTTTACACAGGTTTCCCTTGCAATGATTGCTGAGATTCAACCAGCAGAAGGGGGAAGGTGTTAAAGGAGGAAGACAATATTGCTTCAGACAAATTTTTTGTGAGTACATGTAGAAATACAGATTCATTACAGTGGTCATCTGCATTTTCCTGTAGAATTCCTTGAAGAATCAATTGCACAGAGTTGCTGCAGGAAAGATACACTACCCTGTTGAGATTCAGAGAGAGAATCAGAAGTACTCTGAAAAGTGAGTGAATTCACCTGGCATTTGGTGATCAGAATGATTTATTTCTGTTTCTTCTGGAGCCTTAATACCATCCTGGATATGGACATATAACAATAACAAGTCAACAGCTACCATCCACACAAATATTTAATTAACCATGTTTCTTGCTGCATGAGGATGGTAAATCATTACTAAATATATATATGTTAAGGAAAAGCTGTGAGAGGACCTCAAGTTGGCCACATCATTGTAGTATACATGCTGTCACTTTTTATTAAAGTAAGAAACATAGAATCACAGAATATCCTGAGTTGGAAGGGACCCATGAGGATCACCAAGTCCAACTCTTGACTTAACACAGGACAACCTAAAAGTTAAATCATATATCTAAGAGCATTGTCCAAACACTTCTTGAACACTGACAAGCTTGGGACCATAACCACTTCCCTGGGGAGCTTGTTCCAGTGCTTGACCACCCTCTCAGTGAAGAACTTTTTCCTAATATCCAATCTGAACTTCTCCTGAGCAGCTTTAAGACATTCCCTCTCATCCTGTCACCGGACACCAGAGAGAAGAGATCAGCACCTTCTCTCCATTCCCCATCATGAGGAAGTTGTGCCTACTCATTACTACCTAGTAATGAGGTCATTCCTCAGTCTCCTATTTCTTTAAACTGAATAAACCTAGTACTCCTTGTCTCCCCAAAAAAAGTGTTTTCTTAAAAGTTCTAAGCTAGAAAAAGAATCTTTAAAAATAAAGTAAATTAAAAAAGAAATATAACAGAAATTACATAGATTTTCTGTAAGTAAACCTCCTCTGTCTCAGTAGGGCAGATCTCTTCCTACAGGGTTACTGTCAATCTTTCAACTTAGCAGCTTGTAAAACTGCAGCAAAATGTATGCCTTTCTCTATGTCTCTAGGAAAAAAAAAACCCTCTCTTTCTGTGCATTAATTTAGAGTGTTGTCTACATATTTCTTCCTTGTTCCTAATCTCCTTATTTTGCTACTCTTTATGGAGGCCCTATTGTCTGCCTCTCCCTTTTGCTCATCTCCTCTCACATTGAAATCCAGAAGCTTTTTACACCAGTGCATGCTCAGCTGGTGTCAGGGAAAGCATAATCACTTTCCTTTCAGAGAGTTTAATCTGACCAAGAATACAGTAGCTAAGAAGCTGCAAGTAGCTGCTTTCTGTTTTGCTGCCCATCCATACTTTTTTGCAAAAATGTAACATAGTCAATTCAGAACAAACAAGTCAAAACAAATACCATCAATCTGATGGGTTAATCGTGTAAATCCAAATACATAATTTTCAGGCTTAGACCAGTAATATTTCTGAGAAATATGTATCAGCAATCTTCTCATCTATATACACAGAATAACAAGTACCTCACAAAATACGTACTGAAGCAAGCATCCATCAATTTCTTAAAGTTACTGTACCAGAACGAGCATTAGAATAATGATATTGGTCCTAAATATATTACCATTTACATTTTTGTCCCAGAAGAAGCCTTCACTGACTGACAAATGTTCGTATTAACTTCTTTATTTTCCCAATGTGTCTGACCTCTTCACTTGATAATGATATATGGGCAGAGGTCAATATGCCAGGCACTATTCACTGAAATTGTATCTTCAGTTAATGAACCTTATGGCTAATTAACAGTTTAAATGATATTAAGAATATGCAGTTTAAATACCACATTAAAAAAAAAAAAAATTAGAAATGACAAAAGTAGACAGCTATGACCCTGTTGATTTTAAATTTCCCCCTTAGGAGTCTTTAAGTGGAACATGGTGTTGGGAGGTGAAATGCAGGGGTTTTTTTAAAGACATTTGTTTTCGTTTAAGTTCAATCTTTTTATACTACTGATAGTGTCATTGGCCATTCTATGAGCAGTTGCTTATCTCAAATTATAATGTAGCTTCATAACTGATATATTTTAATTTCTTCTTCATTGTTTGGAGTATAATGTGTCTTCTGCTAAAAAAATATTCTGCTTTGTCCATCCTTGTCTGCCACTGCCTTTTAAGAAATTCAATACTTTCTTCAAAATAATATTTAAATGTGTATATATATGTTCTATTATCCCTAGTCTACAGAATTATTTTCTCATAATCTGTGTATGGGTACTGCTATGAGTCCAATTCATTGCTTTGTTATGCCATATATATAGTATCCCATATAGGGATATAATGGAGCTCTTTTGGACATACCATGTTTTCTGGGCCTTTCCATCTTGCCTCCAGTCTGGACTGCAAGGAAGTCACAAGACAAGAACACATTTTTCAAAAAAATACGTGCAAAGGAATGATGGAGGAAGAGACTGCAGTATCTTACTGGGTGTGGAAACTAACTGATGAGCAGAAAGAAGGTAATGTCACAGATGATAGATGATTTCTCTTATAAGCGTTCTAGCTCTTCTCATGTATGCACTGAATGGTATGACAGAAGTATTCAAGCCTAACTTCAGGCACCTTCTTGAGCAACCCAAGTCAGAACCTTAGCTGCCTTAGGTTTGGTCTATAATCAATAGTACCTTTAAAAAGCGGTTTAAATCTTGGATTTCAAACACTGGTAGCCATATTGAAGATCATACCTAAGCTACATCACTCTTCATTGCATTTCTTAACTTGGTCTGGCAGCAATGCTGGACAACAAGGAAAGTTCAGCTTGAAGAGGTATTTGCTCCATCAAGCCCTAAAGACTGAGAGTGCAATTTCTGGTGTGAGGTTGGCATTTTTCCTTCTTTGCCTCCAATTCCATCACATAGCTTGTGTATGTCAGTATAACTAACAATGAATTAACTTCATTCTAGATGTGACTCATGGAAATGTGGCACAGACCAGAGTACAGAGTTGTGATGTATCTTTTCAAGTACACCTTGATATAATGCATCCTACTGCATTCAATCAATTCATATCATGATGCATTCATTATGAAGTAATAGAATACAGCCAGCTTTGTGTCTGAGGTATCATAAAAATTCAGAAAGACATAAAATACCAAAGTGCTGAAGTGTTTAAATTGCTTTGAATTTTCAATCAACCTCACTCATCAAATGCTTAAATTACTATGACAAAGATTTAAGTGAATAATTCTAGAGTAACCAACAATGATGAAATAGTTAACTGTCTCACCAGCCGATAGATTTACATGCATTAAGAATGGGTGAATTTTGAAAAAGGGACCAAGATCCACCTTAATGAAAAATTAACAATTATGTGAAGAATTACCTTAAGTGAGGCTTTGAAGAAAAGATTACAGTGGCTGAACAAAGTTCACTAGATTGTATCTGCTCTGGATTTCAATGGGTCGACCACAAAGCCAAAAATAGTATCACCTGAACTACAAGAAGGGGCTGATTCTGACCATAAAAGACATTCTGGAAGAGTAATAGGATGAGAGAATACAAACTTCCATACAATATATGCACAATCTACAATAAACTCAAAGATCTTAATTTCATCATGTTTTAGTTTAAGCCCTTAGCTTAGTTACTCCTGTAATGTGTATCATGCCTTTGCTTAGGTTATATGATAAAAAGGTTGCCTTCACACAAAAAAAGGAGCACAAAGGAGTGATGGCAGGTGCGGTAACCTGAATAATACCCTCATCTGGCTACTACCATGCCCACCACAGGAGTAGCCCAGCCCAGGCACATAATCAGTCCATAAAAGGCACATCTCCCCACACACAAAAGGAGCACAGAGGCACAGTGGCAAGCGGGCTAACCCCAGCATTTCCATTTAGAAAAAAAACCCTGTCCAGCCCCTCCCAGGGCTGTCCACAGAGAATCTCAGTCTCATGGTCCAGGTATGACACCCACCCTATGAGTCACTGGGAGTAGCTCTCATGAGCACCTGTTGGACTGAGGAGAGTCACTGCCTAGACATATGGAACGCCTTACAGGATGCAGGGGAAGAACATTTGGGGATTGTACAAGGTCTGTTATAGGATTTTAGGGGAGGAACCGAAGCCAGGGAAAAGGGATGGATCAAACGGCCTTCTACGATGGAGTAACTGCATCAGCGGACAAGCGAAAAGCTATGGATGTCATCTACCTGGACTTCTGTAAGGCCTTTGATATGGTCCCCCACATCATTCTTGTCACTAAAGTGAAGAGATGTGGGTTTTAATGATGGACTGTTAGATGGATAAGGAACTGGCCAGATGGCCACATTCAAAGAGTTGCAGTCAATGGCTCAATGTCCAAGTGGAAACCAATAACGAGTCGTGGCCCTCAAGGGTTCGTGCAGGGATCAATACTATTTAATATATTCATCAATGACATAGAAGGTGGGATTGATTTCAACAATTTTGGGGATGACACCAAGCTGAGTGGTGCAGGTGATACACTAGAGGGAAGGGATGCCATCCAGAGAGACCTTGACAGGTTTAAGGAATGGACCTGTGAAAACCTCATGAAGTTCAACAAAGCCAAGTGCAAGGTCCTGAACCTGGGTTGGGATAATTCTCATTATCCGTACAGACTGGGGGATGAATGGATTGAGAGCAACGTTGGGGACTTTGGGATACTGTTGGACAAAAAATTGAACATGAGCTGGCAAAGTGTGTTTGCAGCCCAGAAAGCCCATCATATCCTTGACTGTATAAAAAGAAGCATGTCCAGCAGGTTGAGGGAGGTGATTCTCGCCCTCTCCTCTCCTCTCCTCTCGTGAGACCCCAGACCTTTTATCAGGGCCTGTAGTGACAGGACAAGACGAATGGGAACTGAAAGAAGGTAGATTTAGATTGGACATAAGGAAGAATTTTTTACGATGAGGGTGATGAGACAGTGGAACAGGTTTCCCAGAGAAGTCATGGATGCCCCATACCTGGAGGGTTCAAGGCCAGGTTGAACAGGGCTTTGAGAAAGCTGATCTAGTGGTGGATGTTCCTGCCTGTTGCAGGGCTGTTGGATTAGATGATCTTTGAAGTTCCCTTCCAACTCAAACCATTCTATGATCCTATGATCTCGGCGATTTGTGGAGGAACAAGTGTAGGAAAACAAAGGGATGAGGGGGTAAAAGGGCCTCCTTCTTGTAGGGTTGGCTGGTCAGTACACTTGTCTGGCCATGCCCTGTGCCTGATCAGCATAGTTTTTCTTGTCTTCTGATTCAATTCCATTTCTAGCTATTTTCCTGGGTGAAGGACTGTCTCTTCTGTGTGTGTGTGTTTATGGGGTTAAACTGCCAGCGGATGGAGTCAGACCAGGTGTCTGTATGTTGGTGGTGTCAGCACCTGGAGTGAGTGTGGGTCTGTGGGTGAGCATGTGAGTGCTACTGAAGGGGAAGCTGGATTAACTGGCAAGGAGGTTAAGTGGCCTGGGAGCCAGAGGCATCGTTGGGTCTCTAAGGGTGAGGCCATGGGAGGAACTGGTTATTGGAGGAGAGTCTCAGCCAGCTGCTGGAGAGACCATGGGTTCTGGGGGTCTCTAAAGTTGAGGAGGGGGGGTGAGAGAGAGAGAGAGAGAGAGAGGGTCTGTACCAGCAACTGAAGTGGGGCTGCAGCCTCAGGGGCTTCTATGTCCAGGTGCCAGAAAGTGGGGAGACTGGGATCCAGGTGCAGCTGCTGGGGAGACTGAGATACAGGGGCAGCTACTGGGCAGACTGAGGATCTGACCCCAGCTGCTGGAGGGATCCACACTTTACTTGTACACATATATATGCATATATGTGTGTGTGTGTATATATATATACACATATTTCCCAGTAATGCATCTTCATCCTGTTCAGCCAGAGAGGGGAGCAGGGTGAGGCCACTGGTGCTATTTGTGTTTGTGCAAGTGCTGTGTGTGTCTGTCTGTGCTGATCTGTGTGGCTAGCCATGTATATGTACCTATAAATATGCATATGTGTGTATACCTACTGGGAACATTTGCTCAGCCTCACTACTGGTTGGACCTGGGGGCATGGGGTTGCAGCAACCTCACCTCCCTTGTGCTTCTGGATTTTGTAACTCCCTAACACTTTTTTTTCTAATTGTACAAGACAGGACCCTTGAACTACTCCTAACTTGGACACCTCCATTCATCATCTAAAATTGTATTTGATGAATGTTAGCTTAAAACTCATATGGCAAGATGAAATATGCAAAATCAAAGTCAGATTTATTACCTCTGACAATAAGAGGAGACATTTAAAGTAACAGGGATTGTATATTCCCTGCCACTGAGAAACAAAGTTCTTGGACCTGTTCTAGTATTTTCGTGTGTATATATATATATATATAAAATTCATCAAACTAAGAAAGTGATACTTATTCTCTTTCTTGGATGTTGTGAGGTTTTATTAATTCTTCTATAGCATCCAAATTCCTAGTACAACAGATTATATTAGTGGAAACCACGTTGTCCTTGCTTTTGTATATCTAAGTCAAATCTGCAGTATTCCTGGAGTTTAGTATTTTATATATTACACTTTAAGTGTATGTATTATATGTATTACACTAAAAGTGTTCAGATCTCTTGCTCCCAAGTTCTAGAAATTATCCAACATATGTGTTTTTAGCAGATAGCTGATGCTCTGGAGGAAGTGGGTATTTACACCTCAGTTGCAGTGTGTCACCTTTCTGCTTCAGTGTGTTGCACAGCTTTAAATCTCTTAGATCACATCATCTTGTGTAATGTCAACTCACATTGGCTTTTCTGCATGACACAATATAACATGATGGGTGGTGACACAGAAAATGTAATGCAGTATGACACATCAGGAATGCAAAGGGTACTGCAATTGGATAGTTGGTGTCAATTTAGATAGGACGCTTCCAATCCAAAATGAATCTGGCAGACACTAATGGAGTGAATGTTACAGTAACTACTGTATGTGTGAAACTGAATTCTGCAGTTCATCACAGTGCATTGAACAGGTGCAGAAATGAAGTCTGAAATATTAGGAAGAATAAGTATTTGTAGTTGACATAGGTATGCAGGTTTAAAGTATGCTGAAAGGTTTTGTATTGCAAAATGTTCCTCTACCTGCTTTTTAATGTTTTCTGTAATCATTACTTGTTTATTTTAATTCCTTTTCTAAACTGTGGGCTACCAAAAAAAAATTAAAAAAATTAAAAATTACATATTGTGTTAGATTATACCAAACATAATTGGCATCAGATAGTCAAATGCAAAAGTATGGATGGAAGAGTAACACCCAGTTATCCCAGAGAACACTTTTAAATACTGAACTCCTTACTGCTTAATTGTTTGAACATTCCAATGAACTTTCTACCAGATAAATCTGCTGCAGAAGTAGGAAGTCCTAAGAATTTTGTCACAAGACATTCTGTGCCTTTCAGGCTGTGGTCTTATTTTATATAAAAAATGCAGTGTAATACTACCATATTAGATTTGGTTATTTTTTAGGATACTAAAGAATAGAAAGTCCAAAGAAGAAAAAGGGAGTAGACACAAGAGTACAAATACCTTGTTCTGTAAGTATCAGACGGCTGTGAAGTGATATAAGAAGTTTCTAAAGTTTTGGTTTATTTTGTTCTCTTGTCAAATCATCTGTAGAGCTAAGAGTCATTGTCTTGTTCCCCTAGGCGAGTCTTCTTTTTTTTTTCTTTTTTTTTTCTTTTTTTCTTTTCCTGTGGTAGCATGTTTTCTGCTATGTGTTAGCTATTCTTATGGTTCAGCTCTTTTATAGGACAGGGACTCAATAGTTTTCCCAAAGGACTAAAAGTATTTTAAACTATTATAGAACTCTTAAATTTTGTCATAATTTGTGCTCCAGAAGGGATAGAATTTATAAATGTGTATAGACACTGATTTTCTTCACTGAAAGAACCATTAAATCATCTGTGATCAGACTCTAGAAAAAAACTAGGTGGGAAATGCAGTGCTTTCATCTTTGCAGTGTGAGAGAGGAAAGGTTGGCATGTAGGACAGGAGTTCTTTAGGGCCATACTTAATACTTCAAATGAAATAAACAAACATAACCTCAGAAAGTCTCTTGTGCAGGACAGCAGCTCAGGGGATATTACAAAGTCTATTCTTCTGCTTGGAAAATGGTAAAAAAGAAAAAGAACTAAAACAGTGTGCTACAGAATAGAGCTGAAAAGTAGGGTGCAACAAACAGGGGTGATGCACTGTAACTGATAAGACACAAAGAGGAGTTTAATTCCTTTTTTGTACGACGTAGTTTTAGCCCTTCAGCAAAAGATCTTTTTAGTGACAACTGCTACCCTCCTCCAATGATTCTTTCTTTTGTGAGACTCACAATTTTCTTGCAGTTTTTTTCCTACTAGCGTAATAGGACAACTTTAACAGTTAAAGGGAAAAAATAACAAAAAATCCCCTTTAAGTGCTTTTATCAATATTTCAAAGGTAAACACAACTGCTTCACTGTTTCCGAGGAACAAGAAAATCAACTTTACTGCCAGTTTCACCAACAGTGATTTATTCCCCCACTCAGTTTTTGCAGTTGCCATTGCTTCCCATGAAGTTAGAGTAGCATCTAATTTTTGCAAAATCACATGCAGTGTTTCCTGGTGAATATTATTTGCCATCATTGTTTTGACAGGAAGAATACAATGATGTGTTATAGATGAGACCAGACAAAGCACTAAAGATAAATTGTAGGGCACAGTCTCACTCAACAGCAGACCATCCGGAGATGGTAATGGTCAACAGTTTAGCATCACTCACCCAAAGAAGAGTATTTACAAGCTCATGGTTCCCTGCAGGTCCCCCTTCTGGCATGCCATCAGCTTGTGCCTGAGGCCCTGTACTGAATAATTCTGGATCATAACTGCATTAGCAGCCCACTGCAATCTTTTGAAAAGAAGTGACTCAGCAATCACATCCTCCCTATTTGTAGAATCAAGATTGAAGAAGGAGGGTGGTAGTGTGATTCCATGCCCCCATGAGGCAGTATCTTATCCTAAAGATATTGATTAGCTTGGACATGACCCACATTAGTCTATTAAATTACTTCTGAAGTGGCAAGTAACTGCCTATCCCTGATGGTAGGTAGGGTAAGAGGATGACATTTCTTTAGTTGTTTCTGCATATTGATTGTTACACTACTTGTTCATATAGTAACTTCACTTAAGTCTCAGTTCTGTAAGTGTTTATTCATGTATGGCATAAATTTGCTTTTTCAGCTGTACTAAAGTTCTTCACAACTATGCACGAAAT